TTAATTGCATCATTGTATCATCGATCAATCAGGTCAGATTAGCCTTATGTACACGAGAAACGAGTGAATGACTGTAAAGTGTTCAAGGTAGCATAGCGTGCTTCAACACTTGTAAATTTCCGATAATCAAACGTTGCATATTCAAAATGTCTCTTTTTAAATGGTGTGCTACCTTGACATCTTGTAATAATAATATAATAATATTATTAATATTACTACAATTACGAAAAGCAAAATATTATCAATGAAAATCTTGTAATTACCCAGCAAGATCTGCTCCGCGTTTTGTTTCCAATTAAAATATTTATAATAAAATAAAAATATCAATACAAGTAAAAAAAAGTAGTACCTCTGGTTAGTTATCAACACATTTCTTTAGGAGACCCAAACCAAACCAGACAACAACACTCACGTTTTGTCACCTTGGGCTCTGTCAAAAAATAAATTGTTCCAAAAAAAAAAAATCATTCATGTCTGTCCTACCAAAAAAAAAACCAATAGGATAAATAATATGTGTACGTGTCGATCAAATAAAAAACTTTTAAGATTTAAAAATGTCTTCTAAAAAGATTCAAACAAAAGAAGAAGAGAAAATCACGCTGAAGAAATTTATGGGTAAGTGTTTTAAGGATGGTGGTGGTGGTTATCGCCACTGTCACTCGTCACTCTAGTTTATATATAATGATGGTAGCAATTATAATGCTGCAACACCATCACTTTAGATTATGGCATTACTCTAGTTTCTTTAAAAATAATGTTAGAAATTGTTTAAATATTTATAAACTTCATTTTTTTTTAATTAGAATTGGGGATGAACTATTTCTGAAGTTTGATGCTTCTTCATCTTCGGAAAAAGCTACCAAAAAAAAACCAATAGGATAAATAATATGTGTACGCATCAATCAAATAAAAAACTTTTTATTTTAAGATTTAAAAATGTCTTTTGAAAAAAATTCGAACAAAAGAAGTAGAGAGAATTATTTGGAAGGAGAAAAAAAGTAAGTGTTTTAAGGATGGCGATGGTGGTTATCGTCATTCTAGTTTATATATAATGATGGTAGCAATTATAATGCTGCAACACCATCACTTTAAATTATGGCATTACTCTAGTTTCTTTAAAAATAATGTTAGAAATTGTTTAAATCTTTATAAACTTCATTTTTTTTTAATTAGAATTGGGGATGAACTATTTCTGAAGTTTGATGCTTCTTCATCTTCGGAAAAAGCTACCACCATTTTCGAACTGTTGAGGCACTGCTCAACAGATGTTATAAATATTTTAAATATTTTATTGGATAGAGAAGATGATGAAGGAGATGAATTGGTTGGGGAGGAGACAGCAGATGGATCAGAGAATGGATCAGAAGATGGATTGGAGAGTGGATCAGAGGATGGAGGCAGAGAGATAGAAATGAGGGAGGTGGAAATTGAGGTGGTGGAAGATAGTGGAGAGGATGAAGTGGAGGTGGTAGAAGACAGTGGGGAGGATGAGGAGGATGAATTAGTTGAGGAGGAGGGGGTAGTAGAAGTGGAGGTGATAGAAGATACTGAGGAGGATGATAGAGAGGATGAAGATGATAGAGAGGATGAAGATGATGATGATAGTAATGATGGAATTGTAGATATTGGGGAGGTATGGAGAGGATTTAGGTCACCCTGGGGCCTTGAAGAGCAGGAAATATTGATGAATCACTTAATTAGGAAGAGGATTAATTGTGATAAATTGAGGGAGGAGGAGGGATTAATGAGGACCAATCAAGCTATGAGTTTGAAGGCGTGGGAGTTTAGGAAGAAATTTAGGAGAATTTTATTCCCTAACACCAATTATTATTATTGAAGGAGGTGTAGAAGGATCTTGACGATGATGTAGTGTTTCTATTTGAATTTTATTCATTATGAATTTGAATTTTTTTTTTTTTAATAAAGACAATATCTTGCTCATTCACAAAATAGCTTCTAGATTAACTTTCTCTTGAAAATAATTAAAAACAGGTATACCAAGAAAAGCCTATGAAGTCCATAAAGTCTCAATTTAGCAATTTTAACTGAATCATAGATATTGTTGACTGATCTGGATATTATCTAGGTAATAGGAAGTCAGATCCAGTATTAATTAAGTTGTTTATTAAAACTAAGTGAGAATTATTAGAATTAGAGTTAGCATTTAAAAAGGTCTTGAAGGCATTTGTGCTATCTGATTAATTGTGTATAATTGATTAGTTATTTTATTTTTTAAGTTGATATTATTTGTTTTAACCATGTGTTAAACAAAGCACATTGTGGAGTTCACACATTTTCGAGCAATCTTTTATATATGTTAATGATGACAATTATTAAAGTTAAATGTCAAAAATGTGTCATTGATGATGTCATGGTTAAATGATACCTGATGAAATGTTTTTGTCATAATTAGCAAGATTAAAAATGCAAAGTGAAAATGATGCATCAATTAATTCATTCGTTAATAATATTAATTAATAAATATTTTTTAGACTGTTTTGTGTAAAAGATTTAATCTTCTGTATTCAGTCACACAACATCTTTATTCACCTTCAGGAAATCAGGAGCCCTTCTCATTGCCACATATTTTCATCAATCGTTAGTCACATGTGGCAATGTCATGCCTTGGGTCTTGTGAGTTGTCAAGGCAATTGCATTCTGCAATGGGAATTGTCACCTTGAGGCATGTGTACCATTTATTTTCAAAATTTATAGTGATTTTTTGAATGTTCATTTTAATAATGTTACCAATAATGTTATCATTAGTTGAAAAAAGTAATTTCTACATTATCATCATCTATAACATTGGTGATCACACCTATCGTTCCATTTCAGATGCCATGTTCAAACAGCTTACCAACAAACTCATGCTTTAATTACTTTGATGGCGACTTCTTGTTTTCATATAACATTATCTGTATCAAAAAAAATTATCAATCATAAATTTTAGCCATAATTTAAAAGATTTTGTTTATTGTTTAAAAAAATACCCTATGAAGAATAAAATACAGAGTTAAATACATTTTTTAAAATATACATATGGAATTAACCGTATTTCTTATACGGTGTTGAAAATTTGCTATTACCCCTTTTCAAATTTTGTGTGAAATACAGAATTGGAAACAGTACGGAATTTGCAACATACTAATACTAATACTGAAACAGAAAAGGTATAAGGTACGGAATTTGACATAACATATTAATACAAATACTGAAAAGGTTCTAGTATGTTTTGATTCCGTGTATAAAGTACATAATGTGTAAAATACTGAAAGGTAATCATATAAAGAATACATTTATTTTATTATATGTAAACATGTATGCAATATCAATGTTGGCAGATCTCAATTGTTGTACAAAATACTTTGAAATTTTTAATTACAGTATATACATAACATTTTTTTCTTTTATATATATTATATGTAGTAATGGTTGGATAATTTTATAAGAGAGCTTTCTAGGAATCAGCAAAAGCGGAGAACTAATACTTTTAACTTTCCTCGAAATAGACATTTATTATTATTATATATAAACATTTTTTTTACTCAAAGTTCCTTTTATATACTTGTCATCAAAAGCGGAAAACAGCTATTTTAACTTTCCTCGAAATAGACAAAGAAATATATGGTAGTATATAATTATAATATTACAACATAATATTACTAATAGAAATATTTGTCTTCAATTGAAAGATCCACCTGTATATTAGGTGGATTCAATGGCTTAACACATTACGCACTGTATTAAGATTATTTTTCATATATAATAATCAGATGATAACTTGGAGTTGATGAATAAATATGCGGAGATTGTATTTTTTATATTTAAATCATTTTTACACAATATCATTACTCATTGCATACTGATATTATTATTATTATATTCTTGGATGATTTAATTTGAATAAAAATCAAACAAAAATATTGGAATTGGTGAATAAATATGTGACAAAGACTGTACTTTTTATATTTAATTGTTTATTAAACAATTTTTTTATGATATTATTATTAATTGAATACTGATGTTATCGTTATTATTATTCTTATGATGATTTAATTTAAGCAAGATTATATTTTATTGTTTTTTTATTACATACTATCTTGTTATATTTTTAGATGATCCAATATATCCAAAATCAAGCTTCAATTATTATAGAGTCGGCAGATAAATATGAGATGAAGACTACAATCTTATATTTGATTATTAATTGTTTTACACATCATACTATACATAAAGTTGAAATTATGTCATATCACATGAGAACCAGTGATCCAACTTTAATGAACACAGTTTATTATCATAAAGATGATTCAAATAATGGTATTTTAATATTCATAGCATAATAAAAATAACTCACTAATCAGTGATATGAATTTTATGAATTAGACTAGACATCTCATCAAAAGAATTTGAATGATAATCCAAAACAGCCAGATATTGACCAAGTTATGGTAATTTAAAGTTTTTGATTAATTTTTGACCATTTTGACTTTTAATTTGACTTTTGGCCTCTCAAGTTAAAAATGTTTCAACTTTTGGGCTTTAATTTCAACTTCATACTGTTTTTTTGCATTTTTTACTATTTCCAAAAAAAAAAATTAAATAAACAAATTTTTATTTTTAAATTTATTATGATTTTCTGTAACTAAAATACTTTTATTCAGTATCAATTCCGTACTTTTGATACGGAAATTGATACGGAAATATGCATATTCCCGTACTTTCCATACTAGTACGTGTTGTTTATTATTTAAAATTCCGTATTTTCCATACGGTTTATTCCGCATCTTTTCATTTTTTATAGGGAATAGATTCTGTTAAATAAAATAATAATAATATATATTCAAATAACTTTAGTTTCGCAGCTGCAGGACACTACGTAACAATTTAAAAACATTTTTTTGGATTTTGACGTATTTTTTTTATTTTATCCAATAATAATAATAATTTTGATTGCGCAGCTATGTAAACAATTGAAAAAACGGTTTTTCAGTATTTTTTTATTTGACGAAATCAAGTTTATCAGTCCCATATTTTTGTCAAAAATTAACAATTGAAATAATCAAAATCTTATTTTTTATTACGAGTCATCCCAATTCAATAGATGATCAACAAACAACATATTTTTTATTCGACTATTATATAATGAACCTTTTTTTGAATAAAAAAAAAATTGGGAAGCGGGAAGTTCATTGGATCGCAAACAACAGGCAAGGCAATGGCAAGGCATTTGAAAAGTGCAATTGCAAAGAACTCTAGAATATTTGCCGTACGACTTAAAATTTGCTTAATAAGGTGAAAACATTGATCGTACCAAAAACCAAACAGAACTTAACATGAAAAGAAATTAATTTGCAAAATCGACGGAATTTAGAAAAAGACAGTAACATGGCAAATTTTCTTTTTTTATCTATGTTAACATTTTTAGACTTAATTTCTCATTGTATGCAAGTAAAATACATTCCATTTAAAAAGCTTTACGAAAGAACGACAGATATCAATAAAAACCACTACCCAAAAAAATAAACAAAATCCTCAACATTCAATCTCTATTTCAGGATTAATTGTTGATTTTTTAAAATGATTTAATGTTTTTTATCTATAACAAGAATTACCCCAAGACCAGAACGTTTACTAATCATTGACACATAAAAAACAATTATTTGTTTGAGCGAAGGAATAAGAACAGGTAACCCATGCAATTGTTGATTGACCAATCAAAATTGTGAATTTGATAATGTAAAAATAAATAAACGTTGGTTTGATTCATTTTGTCAACAATCACTTCACCAACAGTTGTTTCATTAACAAATGGTTTGAATTTAAGAAAATGGAAGTAACCATGCAACAAACCTTTGAAATAGTCTAACAAATTAAACTGTACTACTTGAAAATGGATTTAAAGGGTTGGTTTTCAACTCTTCTCTTGACCATATCTTTTGATATAACCAAAATAACTTTAAGGTAACGAATGTCAACATTTAAGATATACAATTAAGACAAAACATGAATGATGTATGAAAAAATCAAACAAATTTATTTAATAAAAACAAAATTACAACCCAAAAAATATTTTTTTGCATGTCTTAATAAAATTTTCCATTGTTGCTGCATCATTTATTGCTGATTCAACGTTACCCAGATCATCATCAACTGTATTTTCGATATTTTCAATAAACTCATTTTCATTTAATCTTTTCGTTGTACTTTCTTTTAGTGCGTTGACATTTTTTTTGATTTCAACTTCAAGATAGTCCAAGATATCAAACATTTAGATTGGCTCCTTTGTAGACAATGATTGTGATAACCATGTCCACACGTGAGTATATATACACAACAATTATTCAAATTAGTATAGTAGATGATTTCCTAGAAGTAACAAAGCCCCTTGGAAAGGTGACGATTGGTTATTTCGTAACATCATAACTTCATAACCTCTTCAGAAAATGTCATTACCAACAGCTAGGATTCTTCAGACCATTGATGTGTATGCCAAGTTTGATTGCTTGGTGAACTACCAACTAATAGATAATATGAGAGGATATAATTAATTCATTGAAATATTATCATTAATGATTGACTACTTTGCAGCAAAAAAACCTACTTTAATTTTGGCATCAAAAAAAAAAAAAAGATCACACAAATGACTATACACAACCTTTAATTATAAAACATTTTGAATTCTAAATAACTGAATTCTCTCATTTAGCTGAAACACCACCTTGCCAGAGACTGTTTCATTAGTTTTGTGGCGATTTTTACCAATCTGATCATGAATAAAATCAATGACATTTTTGACAATGATAAAATAATAAATATTACATTTATTGTTGTCGTTTGGCACTAGTATTTATAACTTGAATCAACAATAAAGTAGATTTACAATCAGCATACACACACACACAAGAAATTAAATTAAATGCAGCTATGATCAACCAAATTTAATTAGCTTTAAATACCATTGCTATTATTTAATGGGCAGCCTTTACCAATCTGCTCTTCTATTTTTTTTTTTTTTGTGGTTTTTCATTTTTGGTCTAACTTGGGCACTGTATTCTTTGCATTGAAGCATTTCTTTATATTAAATTTGGCATTTATAATTATTGTATCATCTAGATTCAGAAGAATAAAAGGCCCATCCACTTTGCAACCAATCTCTTGGTTCATTATCAAATTTAAAACACAATCACCACAAGGCCACAGTGGATAATTTTCACCTAAAAATATATATGTTGAGATTAATTAAACTAAAAAACAAATAAATATGTGTATATATAGTATATATACTCACTGTTGTTATCTTTATCTGAATCACAATGAATGCAATAATCATTGAACTCTGTAAATATTTAATTGATCATTTAAGATTTCCACTACATCATTTTTGAGAGTAGAAAAAAAAATTTATGTATAAACCTTTGTTAATAAAAGTAGAGAATTTGCCCATTTTAAATCAATTGTGTGTATTAATATGTTACGCGTAATTCAAGTAATACAGTCGGGCTCAAAACATCGTTTTATCAAATATTCGTTTTATCAAGTAATCTTTGATAAGACAAAGTTAAAAAAAAAAAATTCGGTTTAAAAAAGTTATACATCAAAGTCTACATATTCGTCTATACTACGTTGACGCGCCAGTGAACTTTTATATAATAAAATGCTACTTCTAATAGAACAAATACTAGAAATTTGCTTTGTTGAAATTTCAAATTTTTCTACTATATTGAGAACCAGTAATAGCTAAATTTGTTTTAAGCATTTGTGTTGTCTAAAGAATCAATGCATCTTTAGACCTGAATATTTTCCTTTGCGTAAACGTTTATTATGTGAATTGGGATCTTCTGGATTAATACCAAGATATCCCGACTTTCATTTCAATATGACACAAACAATATTTTCACGAAATTTAAAACGAATAGCAAGGTCTTTATTCGTTGGAGTAGGTTTCGATTGTTTTAGAACACATATTTCTCTTTTATCTTTCAACGTCAGTGTATTTTCATTTTTAATTTTAGGGAACAATACGTATATACTACCACTACTACTATAAATCATTTATAAAATTGTACAAAATAAAGCGAAGTTTCCTTCGATAATAATAAACCGATATTATTCGCCTTATCAAGTTATAGTTTACTATATGTGGAACCGTATGAAATCATCGTCTTAAACATTAAAGTAAAACAATAGGAGTCTTCGTCTTATTGAGTTGATTTTATTATGAATGAATTGGTAAACTAGGAAAACTTCATTATAACAAAAATCGTTTTATCGAGTTACGTCTTATCGAGTTCCGACTGTATATTATTATTATTTATAAATATTATATTTTTTTTCATGTACTTTTAGCAAAAAAAATTCAGGTGATTTAAAATTGTTTTCAGATGAGGTATTATTATATCTTTTTATTTAAATAACAAGTGTTAATATTTTACATATCTTTTAATAATTAATTCAATTCATTTGTAAATTTAATGATTGGGATCATTACTAAATTAATATTAAACTGAATTATCCAAATTACTAAATTAACGTTTTAAAAAAAAACAATGTCAGACAAATAAAAACTATTCTAATTATATTTTAAATTTCGTCCAAATTACTAAATTAACATTAACATTTATTATTTGTATTTATTTTTGGCCAACAAAATTGATCAAGTGCAAATAAACAATTAAATATATTTTCCTTTCACTAATTTCTTCTCCCAACATGTATCTAATAATAAAAAACAATTGAATAGATTTTAATTCCGTTATCAATTTCTTCGCCTAATATAGATCTAAATAAAAAAATGCAATCAAACAATCAATTAGAGCTTGGACCCGGATAGTAAAATCCTTAGTATTAGGATATCAGGATAGAATTTTGATGAACGGATAGGATATCCAGATAGACACTGTGTGAAACAAAAAAAGGAAAAACGAAAAACGAAAAGGACTATGTCACATGCTATCATATGATTGGACGGCGTTTCGATAAACATTTTTAATATACAAAAAATATCCGGATTTCTATAATTTAAATGAATAGGATATCCAGATTTCTACAATTTAAACGGATAAGTATCTGGATCCAAGCTCTACAATCAATTAACCTTTTAAATGCAAAAAAAAACAATTGAATATATTTTCCTTCTCACCAGTTTCTAAATCAAACAATTGAATACATTTTAATTCCTCACCAGTTCTTCACCTAACATAGATATAAACAAAAATGCAATCAAACAATTGAATAGATTTAATTCTCTCGCCAGTTTCTTCGCCTAACATACTGTAGATCTAAATAAACAATCACAGTAAAATAAGTGCCATCTTACCATTTACTGTTCTGATTTTTTTAAAAAATCTAGATTTCTGAAAATGAAAACAAAATTAAAAAAAATTTATTTTCCAACCTGTACTTTTCAAGATTTTTTTAAAAAAAACCAAAAATGGATATGTACAGGGTCCAGGTCACCGTACCAAGCCTGTACCAAGATTTTCCCTGTACTACTTTTTCACATACCACCTGTACCGCTCACCTATACTTTTCAAGTGTGAATCTTGAAAGGGTACAGGTGGAATTTGTCGATCCCTGTACCTGGTGATGGGAATTTTTAACCCTACACTTAATAACTCCAAGTTATTAATAGTTAATAACTACTTATTAACTGTCGCACTCTGAGTGAGAGTTATTAATCCAAAAGATCCATTTTGCCAATCAATCTCAGTGTATAGAATTAGGATGTGTTAATCAAATTCAGCAAATTTGGAAAAATAATTATCAAATTTGGTCAGCACGCACATTCCGCACACTGAATTTTAAGCACTGTCATCAATTAAACTAAATTAATTATTATCTTGTTTATCAAATCAATATTTGATTTAAATACCAATGTGAGATATGCACGTTTGTGTTTTTAACACTTAATAAGTCACCGATAGAATTATTAAGTACTTAATAACTCGGACATTTTTCAAAATAATTTTTACGCCCATCACTAGTCACCAATAGAGTTATCAAGTACTTAGTAACTCTGACATAATTTTTACGCCCATCACTACCTGTACTTGTACTTTTCTGGTGACCAGATTCCATTTACATCTCCGACGTAAAAATTTTACTCCTTCTTTTCCAATTTTGGTGAACGTTACAGTTACGTATTTTAATTTCTATTTTCAATTTACATAAATTCATGAAACTAAAAAAAATTCTGCATGATCCCATTAATTTTAACCGTATAAGTATTAACATTATTACACTAATGATATTCTCATAAATATAACAAAGGAGATCTTTATTTTTTAAAAACGCGTTATTTAGAACCTGACGTAAGTATTTCTCGCTTATTATGATTTACATAACGTAACGCTAACTAATAAATAATTTTCTACATAAAGATTGTTAAAGACGTGCATAAAAATTGTTCTATAGATAATGATTGTTCACAAAGTTTTAATTGAATTGCATCGTAATAAAGTAAAGAAATTACATAATTGTAAAAGAAGAGAATTTGCTTGCTATGAAGGAAATTTAATTTAAATACGGTCGTTGGCTACATTCCCTTCTCAAAAATAAAAAGTGAAAAATAAATTCACACTTGAAAAAATAATAACAAATCAAATCAAATTATAAAAAAAATTTCTTACAACTAACAAATGAAAATGAATCGCTCTATTTTTATCTTGGGTTTCTTGATCATCTTCATTTCTGGTGTATTCTCTGCTTGCAGTCCTAATACTCCCTGCAAATGTCCTGCCGGTGCTCAAGCGGGTCTTTATTGTGGTTTCGAATTGAATAGTAAATAATTTCTATTTCTATTTCATATTTTTAAAACTTTCGTCTCCTCTTTTTTTTTTACTAACATTGATTTTATTTTGAAAAAAATAGATTGTTCTGCCGACGGCTTTGATATTTTTCAATGCAATCAAGGAGGGAGCAAGATTTGCAAGTTTGTACCCGGTTGCAAATTTGGTTGTTGTAGACTTGGTTCAGGAAAAAGTTTTTGCTGTAAACAACAAAACTGCACTGACTGCAAATAAATCAATCATAATTTTTTTTTATTATATTATTATTATGTATTTCAAAAATTTAATTGTTTAAATTTTAAATAAAAATCATTGTTTAAATTTTAAACTAGAGAAACAAGCGGTAAATAATCACCACCATCTTTTTAATATATAAAAAAAAACAATTTTTATTCATAAATGGTTAATTCGTGTATATATATATAACTCTACTAGGAGAAAATGAATAGTTAATATATCCATGTATGAGTATATATTTTGAGATGGTTCATGGAATATTTATTATCTCTAAATTGACGATATGAATCTTTACCATTTCGATGTAGTCATATTCTTCATGGTCAATTGCATATTTGTTAGATAGGAATGACGAACATTATACTTCGCCAAATATGTGGGGTGTTTTGAAAAGGATTGTCGCTGACCCTGTAATATTAATATGTAATTTTATACATTTGTTTTTTTTTAAATGAAAATAACCATTTTTCTCTTCTAAATGAAAAAAAAAAATCATTGAACTTGGTTCATTCATTGTAAAGCTCTTGACATTTAAATTTTGCTATGGAAATATGTTATCATGCAAGACAAAAATTGTAACTGAATTTTGAAGGAAAATAAAGTAACTGATACCATCTCATCCAGATCTAGATCACGTGACTTTTCTCATTTCCAAGAATTAGGTAAATGGATCGGAGGAAAGTCTAACAAAGTAGAAAAAATTGTACGTTGTTATTCAGCAAGTTTCCGATAGAGATTTTGGCCAAAAATAAAGCTGATTTCTGATTATTCATAATTATTATCACTCGATATTTGAATATCTTTTTAGCAACTCGAAATAAATATGACTATTCGAAATAATTATGACTATTGAAATGATTATGACTATTTGAAATACTTAAGACTATTCGAAATATTTATGACTATTCAAATGATTGTGACTATTCGAAATATTTATGACTATTCAAAATGATTGTGACTATTTGAAATACTTGTGACTATTTGAAATAATTATGACTATTTGAAATAATTATGATTATTCGAAATAAATTATGACTTTTGAAATGATTACGACTATTCGGAATAATTATGACTATTCGAAATAATTATGATTATTGAAATGATTATGTCTATTTGAAATAATTATGACTATTGAAATGATTGTGACTATTCGAAATTTCACCTATTACCAAAAGTCATCTGATGTATTTCGAATATTCATAATTATCTTTGTATATTGGATATTCAACAAGGGATATCGATGAACGGAGACACTATTTATCGATAATATTCCAAAAGGTGATTATTGTAAATCTTTTTACTGGTGGCAAAGAAGGCTAAAACAATGTATAGATATTAACGGGAACTATTTCGAAGGAGTGTAATAGTTTATTTTGGGAATTACATGCATACCAACTGAAATAAGAATCCAGTAACATAACTTTTCAAACACCTCATGTAACAACTCTCATTCGTATTTTACAAATAGACCATTTTTCATCACGATTTTTTGTTGTAGCATTTGTTTACCTAAAAAAAGTTTTTTTTTTAACAAGTTATACTGTAGTTTAAAAGATTTTTCATTTATTAGTTTTTATTTTTCCTTTGCAATAATATAGATATAAAAAAAACTTTAATTAAATTGACTTTTTTTGAACATTTTGTGGATTGCACCTATCTTCCAATAACTCGTCAATAAGCGAAAGTGTTTATGAATTTTTACCCTTAACATTAAACGAAATTCAGCACAAAAGTAGACATTTTCCTAAAGTACCACCACAACCTTTCTTATTTAGAAAATGATATTCGATGCACCCTGCTTTTGTTTAAAAAAAATTTATTGAGGGTTTACATATCCCAAATAAAGAGATGTGTAAATTTTCTTTGCCGATCATTTTATTTTAACAGTAAGATACAACGGAATTCAATTGGTGCAACGGAAATTGTCTATCTTAGGGAAAAACTGTATATTTCAA